TCCGCGCCGCCTGCTGTGCTGGACTCACGCCGGTGCTGCTGGGCTGGGCACACACCTCCTGCTGGGCTGGGCACACACCTCCTGCTGGGCTGGGCACACACCTCCGCTGGGCTGGGCACACACCTCCTGCTGGGCTGGACACACACCTGTGCTGCTGGGCTGGGTACACACCTCCTGCTGCTGGGCTGGGCACACACCTCTGCTGGGCTGGGCACACACCTCTGCTGCTGGGCTGGGGTGGGGCCACCTGCAGCTTCCTTTTGGTGCTGCCTGGGCCTGAGCCTGCTGGGAGAGGGAGAACCCTGGTGAGCTTCGAGTCATCAGGCTCTTTCCTGGGAAGGGTACAGTTGGTGAGATGCATTGGGATGGGTGTCTTGGTTGCCCACGCCAGCTCCAGAGGGTGGGAATGATGTGCAACCCAGGGAAGGGATGTTGTGGCTGCAGTTGTTAATTCCTCCCCCGTGGGCAGCATTTTCTCCCATCGCATCAGTGCCTTTTGCTGCCTTAGCTCTGGTATCTGCAAGGGTGAAAGGGACCCAGAGCGTGGGTTAGGAGGAAAGGAGAGTATGGTGAGGACCAGCAGAGGTGATCGGGGTTGTCCCTGCCCCAAGTCCCTGCCTCTCACCCTTACACTGGCAGCTTGTCCTCCCCTGCAGGGCACACGCTCTCAACCCGTGCAGTGACCCGTGCTGAGCACAAGCTGTTCCATCCCTCCTGCCTCTTGCCAGCTTTAATGAATTCCTCTAAATGTGCATAATGAACTGATGCCACCAGCGGCCACTTCACAGCAAATCGCCAGGGAACGAGGCAAAAAATGAGATTTGAGATGCATGAGGTTTCTGCTGAGGTGCTGCGTGAGGAGCTGTGCTGGCAGAGCAGGGCCCATAGGGGCTGGGGCTCTCAGCAGAGCCAAGCTGCTCTTGGATCTGCTTGACCAAGGCCCCATGGGGAGCATTGTGGTGCTTCCATCACTCCATGGTGCTTCTGAAATGGGTGGTTTGAAGAGGAGGAGTTTGCTGCTCATGGGTATTTTTGCTCTGGATGCTCTGGGTTTTTCCCCCGTGGCTCCAGGCTCGTGGCTGTGGTGGGACCAGGGGTTGCTGGGGTGGCATGTACTGTGGGGAGTTCCTCGGTTCCCTGAAGACCAAAGACATGGGGTGATGGTTGTAAACTGAGAGAGATTTGGGTTAGAGATCAGGTGGAAATTCTTGAGTGTGAGGGTGTTGAGACACTGGAACAGGCTGCCCAGAGATGTTGTGGGGGCTTCATCCCTGGCAGTGTTGAAGGGCAGGTTGGATGGGGCTTGGAGCAGCCTGGGCTGGTGGGAGGTGTCCCTGCCCATGCAGGGGGGTTGGAACTAGATGATCTTTAACGTCCCTTCCAACTCCAAACATTCTGTGATTCTGTGACCAGGCATAGCTCCTGGACCCTGTTCCTCTGGGACCCTGGCCCAGGTTGCCTAGGGAAGCTGTGGCTGCCCCATCCCTGGCAGTGTTGAAGGGCAGGTTGGATGGGGCTTGGAGCAACCTGGGCTGGTAGGAGGTGTCCCTGCCCATGCAGGGGGTTGGAGGTAGATGATCCCAACCCAAACCAGCCTGTGATTCTATGATCCTCTGTGTCAGGGTATGAGGGCAACCAGGAGGTGATCCCAGCCACCTTCTCCAAGCTGTCCTTCTGGAACAGAACCAGCCCTACCGCTTCACCCCCTCGCAGACAAACCACCAGGGAGGGACGGGTGGGCTGTGGGGCATGTCACCCCCCTCCCTGACTGTCCCTGCTGATTCTCTCTCCCTCACCCCTGCCCCACAGGACCACAACGAGTACAATTCCTCAATGGCCCGCAGCCAGACCAACACTGCCCGCATCGAGGGGCTGCGCCCGGGCATGGTCTACGTGGTGCAGGTGCGCGCCCGCACCGTGGCCGGGTACGGCAAGTACAGCGGGAAGATGTGCTTCCAGACCCTGACTGATGGTGAGTCTGGGGCAGGGCCAGGGGTGAGGGGCTCCAACTCCAGCACAGGAAGTTTGCACTTCAGTGT